GAGTTGAAGTCCACTCATCTTAAAAGTGGCCAAGTTTGGACAACACTGGATTAAGACCAAGAGCTTCCAGACATTCTCTGCAAACTCCATGTTTGTTTGCTGCTTCTCAAAGCTGGAAAAAAAAAGCATGTTCTCCAGAAATCTTGTTTCATTGCTTAAAAATCCAAGGTTTCAGGATTTCCCAACAGATTTGAAATTGTAGAATATATTGCGAGCTGCTTCTTAATAAGCTACATTTCTTTGTTTAAGGAAGAAATTTTGGGGATGGGTGAGTGTGTATAAACGTGCATCTGATTCTAAAATAGTACAGTCCAGGAAGTTGTATTTTTGCATGTTCAAGAATAGTTTGAAATATTGATGCTTTCTCTAGTTGTGTTTACACATTTCCATTTCAACTAGCGGGCAAGGCAAATAATTGTTATTCCTCCTCTTTGCAACATCTTGGTTTAAAATGATGTCTGCATTTTTAAATGTCTTATTAGCCATCACACACTTGTATATTGCAGAATAGGCTCAGAACAAAGGAAGCAATTCCTGCAGATTGGATTGCAGGAAAATATTGGATGTGATGGGTAAAATTTGTCCGAGGCAGATCATTTTAGGAAAATAAAACTCCCAAGAAATCCAGGCTGAATTCTTTAGAGCAGTTTGCTAGGGAAAAAAAAAAATTCCAGCAGGATAAACATATCCAGTGCTTTCACTTTACGACTCTCATGATGAAAGAGTATTTTGTGCACAGTGATACACTTCGTCTTCCTGTAAATTGGTAAACTCCCTTCTAAGCCATTCCCTTTAAGAGAAAATTTAGGTCGTGAGTGGCAAGAAAAATCAGACCAATGAGAAAGAAGAGGGAGATATCGGTATTGGCATGTTTGAAGGAACTGAATTTTGTAGAAGTACAATTTAAAAAAAAAATGCAAAGAGAGCACAGAGTAAAAACAAAACAGTTTAACTCAAAAACAGTGCAGGGAGGACTGAACTTGTACAAAGTGTCAGTTGAGAAACAAAGATGGTGAGAAAAGGCTGGAGCAACATGGATGGAAAGCAAGCTGGAACTTGCAACAGGAGCAATCCAGTTAGTAAGAGAAGGAAATGCTACAAGTTTTTGGTCCTCTAACTTCGATCTTGACTGGTCAGTTTGGAAGCAAATTATGTCTTTAGCTGCAAAGAATAAAAGTGTTTCTTTTTTCTTCCAGAATAGCTGAAACAATGATCTCTTTCATGAGACAAACTATGATTGATTGATTTACTTTTGTCCCCTTGTAATTCTGCCTTGACTTTTGATTATGTTAAGTTGCATCCATTATCAGAGCTGCAACTGGACTGGGAGAAAGGTTGAATATTTGCCTGGAAATTCTGTCTTCTACTTCCAGGCTGTGTCTCCTGTTGATTGAACCATCTCTGAGTCACAGACGTTGAAGTTATAGTTCAACTCATGATGCAGTGTATATATGAGATAAAGAACAGGTGGATTTCTTATCAAGAGGTGTATGTTTGTACACTCACTGCTTTCTCAAACTTGGCATCACTTGGTTGCGAAGATAGTAATCCAGCCTTTTGTAACTCTGCCAAACAGATCTTGGGGTTGCTAAAAACTCCCCCTAAGCTAGGAATTGTATGGGAAGAAACCTGGATGAAACCACATCTGTAACTTGCATTTACCAAATTGATTCATGCCGATCAGGCTAACCCAAGTTTGTTTTTAGCAGTGAATTCAGTAAACCAGAATGATTGACTTTGTTCAACCCAGAACCAAACAAATCACAGTCTGACTTACCATGAGATATGAACCCAGGTATGATGTGGTTTTCTTTCTCAGTCTTTGGCCTTGATTTGCAAAAAGGTGATAATGAAAGAGGCCTACTATATACATTTGTTGTATGGATTAAGAGTAACAACTAGATTATATATAAATAGAGGAATCTGTTGTAGTTATTTTTCATTGTTGTGATATTGTAACCTGAACCCATAAGCATGTGACCACTAATTCACTAAACATCTTTAGTCACTCCAGTCTTGGAGTTTAACAACAGCAGACTTTGTGGCTGTAATATTGCAGCTGCATTTTCTCAAATCCTCTTTTGCTTAATAAAGATGAAGAGTTGTTTTGTGACTTACTGATTGCTCTTAATAAACGTAGCGTCCAAAGTTGAATTGTTTTTCTATGGATTGACTCAGTTATGCTTTAACCATCTGTTGTCCTGGGTGGAGAATCCTGGTGGAATTCAGGAACAGGCTAGAGGGAATGTGGTGGCCAGGAAACTTTGGGTATTTGTGGGAAGGTAGATATACCTAGAACTTCTGCCCTGACAATTGAGAATTACTGTAGCTTTACCATCTCAGGAGCTCTCAGTCCAGTGATGATGATTTATTACATTTATATCCTATCTTTTCTGTGACAGCTTAAGATCTTTATGGGGCTGACTCTTAATTTTATCAATGAGGTAGGTTGGACTGAGTGCTCATGAGATGCCCAAAGTCACACAGTAGTCAAGTGAGAATTTCAACTTGGGTCTTTCCGCTCCCAGTCCAGAATCTTAAGTACTACGCTACTTTAATATGAAGCAATGAATATTCAGTAAAGTTCAATATGAAAAATGAAAAATCAGGAGGAGTCTGATTTTCAGACTCCTTTTCAGACTAACATGTTTTATTAAAAGGCATATGCTTTTGTGAGCTACTGCAAAACTTATTAGTCTGAAAAGGTGCTGCCTAGACTCCTCCTGATTTTTGGTTACCATAAATTAACATGGTTCTACTAACTTTGAAGTGATAAACTTTTCACCTTAGACCAGAGAAAATAGGCTAATGGGGGATAGATGGGTGCTGATGTCTTCTTTTTGAATACTGTTAAGTTACCTTGCGAGGGAATTTGGGTTTACTCCTTTAGTAGCAGTTTGATAGACATAAATGAAGCAGTCGGGTTTTCCCTCCAGCATTTTATTACTTTTCCAGGAAAAGCTTCCATTACTTCAGTTCTATATGCTAAAATTTTATCTGATAAAGTATTGGAACAGCAATAAAAGGAGATGGCAACCAGACCCGTAGATGGTCTGCTAAAACAATTAAACAAAATTTTTAATTGTTAACAGGGAGGTAGAGCTGAAAGAATTCCAGTTTTACTTTCAATTGGGGTGGGCGAACATAGCCCAATGCCTGCCTGCAACCTTCAAACTCCCATTTGCAGGCTTCAGACTTCCTTCTCAATTGTTGTCGTGGATTGTATTGTTTCCAGCCCAAATAATGTTGGAAATAAATTATGTAAAGGGGCTTGGGGCTTTGCCCATCAGCAGAAAAACTCTCTGTGCTTCAACAAGAACAGGACCAAATTTGGGGAGGGAGAGAAGTTGGCAAAAGAAAGACTGAGTTTGAAAATGGGTCATATCTAGCCAGGGATAGTGGAGAAAAACATTGTCTCCAAATTTCTCCAGTGCTTCCCTATGGGAGAGGAGTTGAGCAGTGGTTCAAAATGTGGCTGACTGCTCCATCATAAGCCTCCTTCTGTCCTCCCTCTGGTCACATGACTTAGGGTGGACCATATACAACCTTCCCCATTCTTCCTAGTAGACCCAGACACACATGTAAGCATAGATGGAACACAAGATGAGGACAGAAACACCCAGTCAGATGCATCATGTTACTTCATTACCCAGAACATAATGTTTATACAGTTTATACAGACTCTTTTATCGGCAGTTGTCACAGGAGGTATTGAAGAATCTGGGAAGCCACACTTTGCCTGCTTTCCTTATCTTGTTGATGAAGTGCAACAGGATTGTAGCATGAGCCTAAAATTGGCTTAATCCTTGCCCAAAGAAGAAAGAAAGAAAGAAAAAGAGAATCCCCATGGATCTGCTCAATGCTGTTTACAACTTCAAAGCTTTCCTATCTCTGTTTTAGAACAAAAATGTGTCCTAATAGTTTGCAACTCTCTTGTCTGAGCAGCTTGGCAGCCCCAGATATACTTTCCAGCCCCCAGGGAAGCAGGAGTCCCCTTTGGTGTGCTGGAGCTTGGAGGCAGCTCTTCTCTTCTGCAACTTGTCAAATACATGGAAAATGGCAGAATTCATTTTCAAGCTGGGAGACTTCCCACGGTTACTTAAATTGCCCATAACATGCATGGGTAAATGGTTTAGTCATTTGGGTTCTCAGGGTTCTCTGACCTAGGTTGATTTCTGGCAGATGTTTCATTTCCAGGCTAGGTAACATGTCAGAGAACATCAAGAACCCAGCAGTTCAACCCTGAACTGCATATGTTCTCTGCTGTTGGCTTGAGTGTCTCCTACTGTCTCCATGCAGGTCACAGTAGCAAAGGGTATCAGAGGCTACAAGAAATTATGCCTGGCTACTAAGCCACATCCATATCTGTGGCTCTTTGGAGATTGCCCTCTTTTTCTTGTATTTGGGCAGTTTGCAGGACCTGTAAAGGCAGCAAAATGCATGTGAATTTCTGTTAGCGTGGACAGATGTTAAAGATGGGGATACCCATTAAGTTAAAGGTGGTGGTGACCTTGTCCTTCCACCATCAGGTATTGATCTCCATAGTCCACTCCTATCCTAAGGAATGGAAACTTATTGTGGTTTACTTTTGCATGTACATAGTCTGGACTCCTTCACTTCCTCTCTGGGCCATCTGGGCATTGCCACTTCCTGCCACACTTTCAGAGAATTCTGTGATGGTTTTGGAAGTGTGTCCAGACAGCTGCAGATTGCTTCATTTCCAGGTGGCCTCTGCTTGATTTCTCCATTTTCTCCCCTCTCTAATGCAAAGTACCACAGCACTCATTGGCACTATGGAAAAATGGAGTTGACCTAAGATAGATGTCATGCTTGTGTTCTTCTGAATCACCAGCAGCTGCATGTACAAACACACACTGGCTGAATCCTCTTGGAAGTGATGCTTATTTGTACAGATTGTTTACAGTTTTTAGCCTCACAGAAGTCAAAGGTGGCTATCATTCATTCCTTGAGGAGCATCAAGATGTTCAGTAGGGCACTCATATCAAATTACTTGTACGTAGGATGGCCTAAAATGCATCTGAGCAACTTACCAACATGATTTTGCATGTCATTTCCAAGGTAACATCTTCCATTTTGCTGCACACAATTTTGAGAAGATGCCCAGCTACATTTATTTCTAACACATTTGGGCCTGATTTACAGTCAAAGTAATTCTGAAGTGCATTTTTCAAAGCTGTGAATGTGTAAACCATGTTGGGCATCCTATAGATCAGCTTCTCTCATCTGGTACCCTCCAGATGTGCTCATGTAAGTGTGTGTGTATGTATTTTATTACATTTCTAAATTGCCAAATAGCTACCGTTCCCTGGATGGGTTGAAACAGCCGTGTTATTTAGACAGATAATAACTGGCAAAAATATTCATTAATGTACTTGATACAGGTTCGATCGAACAATATTCAGGATCTGCAATGGATTGCTTAGTACCAGGAAAAATAAAAAGCTTATTATCTAGGAAGATCATAATGTGGGTGCCAACCAAGCCTTTCTGGGGACAGCATTCCACAAAATAGATGCCAGAACCAGAAAGGAGCTTCCTCTTATTGTTAACCCTCACTGGCCATTTTGTTAGTTGAAGGGTTTGAGGAATTCAGGCCAAAGGTCTGGAGGGCACCAGACCTTCCTCAAATCCAGAGGTGATGGCCAAGGGCCACATGTAACATTGGGGGGGGAGGGAATTATGGTGCAAAGCAAGTAAGATCAGGACTTTCTGTTTTTCCCCTTTGAATTGGGTGGAGAGTTTAAAGGGGTTTCTTTGTTTTCTGAAATATAGTAACCCTATTTAAGGTTTACAAGGCCAGTTTGTGACCTTTGTGCCTCTCCAAACGGCAGGAAACTGCCATCTGTTTTGAGCTGCTGTGGTTAGAGGTTCTTTGGGAGCCACTGAAAAATAGTTTGAGGGCTGCAGATTGCTCCCTCCAGCCAAAACCAAGAGAAAAATCTTGGTTACCAAACATATACTATTGTACTGGTCCTACGGGGAATAACTTGGAGTTCTTTTAAGCTTGACATTTGAGGCATGTTGCTCTGCAAAAGTTCATGCCCTAGCAAGGCTGCCTGAAGAACCTGAAGAACCAAGAGCTGCATAACCTTTGGGCCTCTTAGCAATTGCTCTGCTGCTTGATGAAGTGTGCTGGTATTTGCATAATGGAAAGGGGAAGTGAAGGAGCTCAGCAGCAGTAGGAAATGCAGAAGCTATGCTCCCGAAGGGGATGGCGAAGACTTGGCATTTTATGGGTTCTCTGCAAAAATAATTGCGGGCCACCCGTTCGATAGACTCTTGGAACTTTGCTAAAAGGAGCAGTCCTTTTAAGATTGAAGGGCAGCTTTAGAAACGATCCCATCTTTCGTGACCTGAGCTTGAACAAGAATGGTCCATGTGGTTTTCTTGGCAACATGGCAGCAATGATTTGCCTTTGGCTTCTTTTGAAATATTTCCCCCCCCCCCAGCCAACTCTAGACTGTAAGGATTTCCAGTTGATTGATTGATTGATTGGCATTTAAATAGCTGATGGGTAACGTATAACAACTAGAAGATAGGATGAAGTGCAACCCAAGATGCAACATGGCTAAAGTGATCAAAAAAGAATCTACAAAATAGTAATGAAATGAGTAACGTTTGAAGACACGAAAGATCTAACCATAAAGTATTAGTACAGAAACATTATGTAAATATATATAATAATATAGATATTAAATAAAGCTTAGTAAATTTGAGACACTTTTTTTTTCAGTTTTAAAATTGCCTGGCTGTTTTTGAGATAAGCCAAGTTGCCTGGGCACTGACAAAACCAATCTGCTAGAGTTGGAGTAGGGAGTACTTTGCTAGATCCCAGGAAGACTGATGAATGCTCAGAAATCCTGAAAGTTCACTGCATCTTAAAATGTAAAAGAGATTGTTCACTGCTTTTTAAAAAATTAGCCAGTTTTGGAAGGAAGATGATATAGATGCTCCAAATGAAACATCGTCTTGGATTTTGAAATCGATTGGCAAATCATGGCTTCTGATGAATGAAAAATATAACATTTGAGAATTGATTTTTGATCATTAATTTCCAAACCCTGATCTGCAAAATGCTACTCTGGAGTTCTTGGTGTTCTCTGAGCTTGGTTGTTGATTTGCAAACATTTCACTTTCCAAGTACGTAACGTCATCAGGGCACTGATGATATTACCTAGTGGGGTAATGAAACACTTGCAAGCCAACAGCCAGGCTCAGAGACCACAAGAACTCCACAGTTCAACCCTGAGCTACATATATTCTTTTCTATTAAAACTCTACTTTTTGAAATTTCATATACAATAGATCAGAATATCTAGCCTAATTTATCCTGTGGTTTCCTTTCTCCATCATAATGCTTAGCATATTTATTTTTATTTTTAACCCAACTGGTCCCACAGGTTCCATGTGAGTTACAACAAATTCACATATACTGGAAGTTATTTCAGCAGCTATAGAATATAAAACCCATACAGTACTTCAGGAAAACCAAATAATCACAATGTATTAATATTAATCCTGTACAGTAAACATGATTTCGAGGAATGCAATCGGGATAAAACGCTTTAGAGAAAGTGTAGTATATTTAAATCCCATGCTACTGGAAACATTAAACTAGATTTGCATTTTTTTTAAAAAAATAGGTCTTTAACAATCATTGTTACTGTTTTTCTGTTGATTTGTTTAATAAAGGACAATTAATTTAGATTATTGTCTTTGTTTTACTCTTTTTTTTTTTTTAAACAGAGCCATTCTCTTCTGAGTTGTGATGAATAGTGTGGTGCTTTGAAGGTGGATATGCTAACCTGGCTTTGCAGACAATGTATCAGATATTAGATGCGTTGGACTAATATCTGTTGATGGTTTAAAACTTTCTGTCAAGAGCCCAGAATGTATTGGTGTGTCGGGAGACAGGAATCTGCAGACCATGGCGAGAATACCACAGAACAGCAAGAAGGTAAATGTGATACCAGCATGCCTGTTATTCTATTTATCCATTAGTTTATGGAAAGTTTGGCCAAGTGGGTTGAATCCTTACATAGACCAGTGTGAACAAGTATGGGGTAGATGGACTTGGATTTCCCTACTTGTGTTTTTCCCCACCATGCCAACCTTTCTCCAACCCAAGGGAGATACGTATAGACTATTTATACAGCACACTCAACCAAGTGAGTTTAAGACCTAGCAGGTACATTCACAGATGATACAAACCTTGATTGCTGTTAACTATGGTTAGGATTTTTTTGGGGGGGGTATTTTGCATACTGTGCCAGCCCAACTCTTTTGGTTGTTCATGGTTCGGTAGACTGCAGAAACTCAGCTCAATATCTTCTTAAACATGTTGTGGGAGCATTCAGGAGTGGCCCAAATTCTTCCATCTCATACTGGCAAAATGTTAGTGGGTTCCTCAACAAACATTCAGGGCTTTTTGAGAGCAAGTCAGTCCTGTCATTAAGGAAAATAAAAACAGTTTCCCCAGGTAGTAGATTTGGATGTTAGGTTAACAAATTGTCCTTTACTTAATTTGTTATGATTGCTACAGATGCACAGAAGTATCTCTGGGGTTTTCTGTGCCATGTGCCTAAGTAACTTGGCTGGTTGTGTGTCATGTTTTAGGTAGGAAGGTGAACACCCTTTGTTGGATCCCCTTAGGCTGTAAAATGTCTTGAGTCAGCCCTGCTGGCAGAATATGAATTCAGTGCAGGATTGGGCTGTCTTGGGAATGCTTGTAGGGATCTGTTGATGGAGAGCTGGGGTGTTATCTTACCTGGAGAACAGTCTGGAAAGGCTGTAGAGCTTCCCAAAGCTGAAGCTAGACCTGTCAGGCCACGGGTTGGTATTTTGGGGAATGGAGGCAGGACTCATGTTGGGAACACAGTGGCAGTAGAAGTAGTTAAAGCAGAAAGTGGACGTGTGTGGAGTAAAAACGTTTTTCTTGTAACCTGATTTTCCCCCTTCTATTTTAATCAATGTTAAATCCATTCAGTTTAATTTTAGTTTATAGAAAATCAGTGGCACTGTGGATAGGGCTCTGGGCAGTACCAAAAGATTTTAGAAGGTGGCCTCTTTGTGATTCTCAAGCCACAGGTCATGGTCCCATGTCTTTAATATACCACCCCCACCATCTCTATTCCCAGCCAGCTTTACAGTGATCTTCCATGTTCATTCCCTCCATGTTCATTGTAAAAGACATGAAACCTTGCATCTCATTGGAGAGTTTAATGGAAGTATGGGGACATGGAATTGTGGCAGATTTTCTTGCATCTGCAGCAATGATGATCCTACAAGAGAGTCATGAGCAAATGCTCCATCAGCTTCTAGCGTTACAATTTGATTTGCTTCCTCTCTGCCCATCCCCGTCCCTTTTTAGCCAACAATTCATTAGGAAGGGATATTTACCAACAAGGATGAGTGTTTGGGGCGTTGCTGTGAGAGTTGGGCAGAAGCAAAGTATTAAGCAGCTGTTCAAATTTGGATTTTTGTGGAACCACAAAGAAACACTGGTGTTTTATTTTGCCCTTTATTAGAGAAACTTTTCACATGCATTTGGGCAGCTCCAGTACCAGTCTGTGCATGGGTGAAATGTGCGTATTTTCTTTTCTCTTTCTACTTTATTATAAATCTTTGTTTGTTTGTGTGTGTGTATGAAATGCTTGGCATAATAGGTGATTGATTATGTGCCATAAGGTCAGTGTTGACTCTTAGCAAGAGTATAAATTTATACCCCTTCCTTGCCACATGAAGTTGCTGTGAGAATGGATGCACTGCAAGGGATCCCTACCAATTTAGCACTACGTAGCATGAGTTTTTCCTTTGATGCATTGTTTGTCTAGCATGATTTCTCCAGTGTCGTGTTTTTGTAGCCAGATCCTGGTTCAGAGACCTTAGCCTGCCCTTTACACTGTAGAACATCAAGCACTGCCTTTCAGTCTTATTCCTCCATTGGTTTGCTTGACTTCACCAAGGAGATGGGAGCGTGATCAAAGAGCAGATCCAGTAGCTGGCGCGACTCACTTAAAGAGACAAAGAAAGTCCTCAAGATCTGCCTTTCTTAGGAGGACTGTTTTCTTGGTACACATTGTTTCAGGAGGCAGTGGATTCTCTTTTGTGAAATTTCTTTAGGCAAAGATTTAATGGTCATTGAGCTGATGTTTCAGTGGTGGATTTCTTCCAGAGAAAAAGCCCTTTGCTAAGATATTGGGTTGGCTGGAGGGGCACCACCCCACTATGGTTCCAACTTACTGGGCAAGGAATAAGGAAACTAGTGAGAGAGAAGAAAAGGAACAAGGTAGATTGGTTACCTGTTTGCGACCCCCAGGTTATGTTATATATGTCACTTGCACTGACATCTGAACTGGAACAGGTTCTTATAGAAAAATTGTAAGCCTCAGACCACAATTGTTCACTGTCGCCCACCATTGCTTTTCAGCAAGGGAAATATGGCATTACAGTCCTGTTAGGAAGTTATTTTGTAATAGCTGGGAGCGTTCTTGTTTGTTTAAGCCTACGCTAAAGTAGCATGGAGACACCATCTCAGTGGCCCCAAATGTGGTGTTACATACATATTCATGCCAAATAATTAGTGGATTAGCAAATGCCTTGGTGCAAAAATACCTGAACAAAATTTAGCAATTCAAAGTGCTGGTTGTCACTTTAAAAGCCCTTCATGGCTCAGGACCAGGTTATTTATGGGACCATCTCTCCCTAATTGTTTCTACCTGTTTTACCCAATCTGGCAGGAAGGGCACACTCGGGGTACCATCAGCTAGGGAGTGTTGGCTGGTGGAGCCCAGAAGGCGAGCCTTTTCTGCCATGGCACCCGCCCTTTGGAACATCATTCCCCCTGAGATTAGACTGGCCTCATCCCTGTTGGCCTTTCGTAAGACCTTGAAAACTTGGCTTTGTGCCCGAGTCCGTCTCCTGGTTGTATGGATGATGGATTAGATCGTGCCCAGCTGCTATGTGCTTTTATTTTTGTTTTCTATTATGTATTTTGTGTTTTTATTTATTTTATTGTAAGCCGCCTAGAGTCACGTAAAAGTGAGATGGGCGGCTCTATAAATCGAGTAAATAAATAAGTCAGAAGGAGTCTGGTAGCCCTTTTTCTGACTAACATATTTTGTTAAGAGGTGTAAGCTTCTGTGAGCCATAGCTCATTTTGTCAGATACGTATAAGATACAGGCTTTCAGGGATGTGTATTCAATAAAGATCAGGTTATTAGTCCATAAAAATAGCAAAAAATAGTAAAAACAGGTGTGATACGTTTTGAGACAGGATCTGATGTCATCAGTATCTGAATATAAGCAGACTTTCCAATGCCAGGAGATGGGAAGCTCCATACAAAGCCCCCATGAAAATGCAGACATTTGTTAAATAAGCAAACTTGGCAAATTTAATGTAGTCCATTGTGTTATATGATATAATACTGTAAAGAGGTTTGAGTCCTTCAGTGAATTTCACAATCAAATTAAATCATTTCTCCGACAACCTTGTGAAGTTGGTCGGTTTCATCATCTGGATATGGAAGATGAATATAGCACTCAAGCTGAAATGTTGGATTATTTAAGAAACACCCAGGACAGGATTTAATCTGAACTGGGCAGCTTTACTTGAAGAAATCCATTTCACTTGCTGTGAAATGCTTGTTTCATTTTTGTGAGGATGTTTTGAAGTTTTAGAATTAACAGAAAGTCAATATCTGCTAGTTTATTATCCATTAACTGAAAAAGCCTGAAAGCTGGTCTTTTTTCTCACCCTGCACTCTGTAGTATCGTGCACGCTTTCAAGTATGTTTAGCACGCTTGTGTTATATCAATTCTTAGTTGAGAGTACAACTCCGATTCAGATGCAAAGGGGGTGCTGGTAATTGCTGCAGACAAGAACATGATAAGCAATTCTATTTTGCATCTTATCAAAGAATTGGAAGACATTCCAGAAAGCGGTTTAATGCTTGCATCTAAGAAAGCGGGATCCTGGCAGTCTTTATAAGAGGTGCTGTTTTTATTGGCTTAGATTGAGGTGGAGACAGTTCCAGTAATATGCACTCAGACACCATAATCTTTTGAAGAAGGTAAGCTTGAGAGTCCATTTTTTGTCCCAGGTCAACCCTCACTTATTTGTGGATTCCTTGAGGGAGGATTTCTTGAAACATTCTGAGCTGTTTCTTCCCAGATTTCTTGCAAACTGGACATAGTTATTGTTTATGAAATAAATTACCAGTGGACCTCCCCTCCTGTCTCTTGTTTATATCTAACATTCCTTCCAATGCTCTCCCAGCCTTCCTACAATCTCTCCTGATTGCCCAGCTACAGTTTCTTCTGACAACCTGTAGAGAGCAAGGAAGATGACCTTGAAGGAGATACGCAGAAACTGTTATCTAGGCAAAATGGGCTAAAACATTTTTTAAGTCCCAAACAATGAGATAACATTTGGAAGTGACTCAGGCAGATGCCTCCCTAATTTACTGTATAAGAAGGAGGGGAAGGATAGCACAGTCAGGCTTGCGGGAGTCTATTATTATGGCCAATCTCAATGGAAGTCATTTTAGCTTTCCTGTGGAGTTCCTTTACTGGTCTGGTTTACCTAGTGGGGCTTACACAGTAATCCTTTGCTTCCACCCCATCCATCATTTCCAGCCTGGCTCCATGTCCAGGATTTTGATCCTCTCTTCCTTTTGTTCAGCTCCTCTGCCTTGGAAAGTTAACATGGAAGCAAATGTTGAGAGGCAAAGGGTTGTTTACCACTATGCGTGTTT